AGTATTGGACCGGGCACTGTCCCGAATGGTCCCGAATGATACCGCACTTGTGTCCCTTTGAACTTCAGTCGTATAATAAATCTCTTATTAACCAAGCTTGCTCGGGACCGTACTGGAAGAATATCGGCCCTCGGTCTTTTTTGTACGGACCTCGCTGCGCTCGGTCCGTACTGTCAAGACCTCGGGCCGATATTCTCCCAGTACAGCCCTCGCGCTTGGTTAATAAGATATATTTATTAACGAGTTCACTCACGCAAAAGTCTTAACTAGCACACATCCTCAAGGCAGCAAATTAAACACGAGAAGTATGCCCTCTTCTAAAATTGTCAACTTTTCTATAACAGCAAGGTTTGAAATAACAAAGAAAGTCACTTTACCTCCTTTAATGCTTTCAGTGCCTCTGCTCTCTGCTGAGCTGGAGGATACAAAATGATGCGATGAAACAGCGACTCCAACACTGGCCTCATGGCGGCTAAGGGACCCACAAGTCGTAGGAGTTCTGTGGCTATGTTATAAATGGTCCTTGGTATGGGCCCCACAACCGATGTCGACTTGGCGAAGTTCCCCGTTCCACGCCCTCCTCGATTGATTTCCTCAGGGAAAGGAGTCACAGTTTTTGGTCGTTTATTTAAGTCGGTAAGAGGACTCCCCAACAACTGAATCAGGGCGGGGCATAAGAGTTGCCTGAAACACGAAGAAAAGGTGTTTAGAACGTTAATCTTCAAGGAATCAGGAAAAGTATATAATCCGTGTATCAGATAGTTCTTCACTCTCGCAAATTTGTGCTTCAGAATTTCGTGGATACTCACTCCCTTTGCACTCCTGTTGCAATCGTAAATCATGCTTATTACTTGTTGTGACGTGGTCATAGTCCTGTGATTAACATTTTGATTCGAACATTTTTGAAATACTGTCTGTTTGTCTGCTAGCGGTATTTCTGAACTCACCAGATAACGTTTATAAACTCTTTTTCCTGTTGTAAAGCTGTGGATAGACTGCTCAGCATAACCAAGATGGCTTCCAAGTACAATGGAATAGCCTGGCCACCTTGCACTGGAACACTAGAGACAAAAAAGGACGTAATGAATTATAATTCTTTGTCTCACAATGTGATCATTTACGATTTGGATCGCGACGTCCTGGCAATGCAAACATGTCGTCTGTGCAATCCTTTACGATTTACCGTGTAGTACAAGAAAGCATTCGCAGATTTTCAAAGAAAACTAGACCAGTTCCAAAGATTATTTTGGATACACAGTTGACTGGAAATGTTTATCTTCTGAAGGCGGAGCATCTTGTGAGGATTGAGCGAAGGCTTTTTAAGGCAAATTTTTTTAAGAGCGTAAATCTTTTTTTTTCGTGAGGACTTTTGTTTCCATGCATCGTATCATTTTCAGGGGCTTTTAAGGTCTTGAGTATTACAAAATGCGAAATATGCGAAAAGAGCTAATACTTCTCAGTAATTTCTATTCATTATTTTGAGCAGTTTGTCAGCTGTTTGGTTTGCCTCGTGCTGTTATTTACAAGCCACAATTCAACAGAGAATGAATATTCGATATACTATCAACAACACTGTATCTTCAATCATTATTTCTGTCAGTGATCTCGTGCCGTGCAAGGCAAAAGCAAGAAATAACTCGATAGGATCCTTTATTTAACGATTTTAATTCGGCTCACAAGGGGCAACAAACATTGTAATTAAAATGAGGACTTGTGCATACTTTTTGTAACAGTTATATCCGCATTATTGCTGTTTTCTGGCGAAAATATTATATTTGATGGAACTAACTTCAAACAAACACATACTCCGAATTCATTTTAAAATCCTAATTTTGCTTCACTTTATTTGTGTTACGCCCACTTATCAGCAACTAGACAAAACATCGTGTAAAACGTATTTGTTAGGAAACTGAAAGAAACTACTGCATTTAACCAGCCAGAGTCGACCGTTCCAAACACGAATTGTGCTATTTTTAGAGCTAAGATTTTAATGTTCTCTACGGGAGAGTAACATTGACTCTTTGCAGGGTGCATGGTAGACAAGTTTTTCGATTTTAAATCAGAAAGATTCCGCACCCACATAAAAAAAAATCGATTTGAATATAGATTGAAACTCTCCTGCCAAAGAACGATGGAAAGGTAAAAAAGCTTAATTTAAAAATTTGTAATTTTCACTGCAGATTTTTTTTAAAACGATGCACTCTAACTCTAGAAATTCCAAAGTGAATGTCGTAATTCCCAATGTGATTTCGCAAAACTTAAAATTGAAAAAAATATTATTTGCAAATATTACTTTTACAAGGGAAAATTGACTGCAGCCTGACGAAATATTTTTTGTCATTTATTTTAAAGTTCTCGCACTAAAGCTCTCTGCACGTGTTATAAGGTCTATGAAACCACATCACTTGCTTGGAGCGGAGAGGAATTAAAAACCTTTCTCCTGCTGGTTTTTGTATCACTTACCCTGAAATTAGTTCTTCTCGGCCTGTCAATTTAGCATGAAGGAAAATCTTCTTACCTTGGTCCTGCGGTCAGTCGGAAGCAAAAGTGTTTCAGTAACAGCACCACATCTTGGCTTAACAACTTTGCATAGTCCGTGGAAAAAAGATTCGTATCTGCACATAAAAGAGTTAAAGATTAGCAGGTTACTCGGGTCCCTGTCGATGTACGCCAGCTGCATCTAAAGACATGCGCAATTGAATCATTCTAACGTGGTTCGTTTGCAGTTTCCTCCTCTTTAACCCTTTACCAGTAAAGAGTGACCAGCATTTAATTTCTCCCAGCAGCATTATTGCCGAATCAAACTCCCAAGTCATTTGAATAAAGGAACTGATCACCAACTAAAGAAGCTCTTGACTGTTGAACAGTGAAATTCTCCTTGGCAGTCTCGTAAGAAATGTATGGAGAACAGTGGGGAGCATGCGCGCGCATATCGATGTTATGGTGTAAAGGGTAAGACGAGTAATCAATGAATAGAGCGAGAAAACATAAAGTAAAGGAAACCTGAAGCTTTGTTCTGCCATCGATCGGTGAACAGAATCATCATGACTTACGTTTGATGATCTTGGAGTCCGACGAGGAAGTTTTGGATGTCTAAAAGAAAAGAGTTATATACAATGTTATAGACATTCTGTGTACTCCTTCCAAATGGGATGTTTCCACATCACAGGATCCTGGGAAGGAAAATGCACTGTGAGAGTAAATTATCTTGACTGAGAACATAGCTAAATGCACTGGCCGGGAGTTGAACCCACATCTCTAGATCAGAGCTCAACGTATTAAACACGGCGCTTTCGCGCCTTGCCTCAGTTGGATTAATTTACCCACCCTAAATTTCACCTTAGCTTTTCCCTCTGATGGAGGATAGCTTCACTAAGTTCAGTCTACAAACTACTGAACACAAACCGGCGATGGAAGTCTTACCAAGGAAGTTGCTAGGCTGTCCTGTAAGCGATGACACACCGAGCTAAGCATTTGTGTTAAGGTAGCTCTGCAAGCTGTTTTGGTGGCAATTTGATGTGCTCGGGTGTACGTCTCGATGCATATCTAGGAATAGGTAGATGTGAGTTAACTACAAATTATGTCTGATACGGTTTGGTTTGAGATCGTGTAAATATATCTTATTAACCAAGAGCGAGGGCCGTACTGGGAGAATATCGGCCCGAGGTCTTGACAGTACGGACCGAGCGCAGCGAGGTCCTTACAAAAAAGACCGAGGGCCGATATTCTTCCAGTACGGTCCCGAGCAAGCTTGGTTAATAAGAGATTTATTATACGACTGAAGTTCAAAGGGACACAAGTGCGGTATCATTCGGGACCATTCGGGAC